GCTCTCTCTGGCCCTGTGTCAAACAGAGGAGGCAAGGGCCTCCAGAGAAATGAGAGGAAAGGGGCTTCTGGGCACTGCCTGAGCAGTGATGGCTGCTGCCTAAAATAAATGATGGGCCTGAGGGTTCCGGAGAGACACCGCCACCCCCTGCTGCCTGCTCCCTCTAGCATGCCTCCCCACCTCACTGCCTCCTAATCATACCCTCTCCCCATATTGTAATAATGTTTTCAAAGTGAAAAACTGGTGTAGCTGTTCCACATACGGGTCCTGGGTAGCGGTGTACCAAGGAGGACGTTTTTGGAGGGTGTCAGAAGAGTTCATGGAAGAATAAATTTCCTTGCACCCTTGTGGGCCAGTCTGAGTTTTGTCTGTCCTTACCTCACTCACCAGCAGTGAGACCAGAAAGGAAGAAGTGACTTGGCTGCTAGCCCCATTCACTCCCTCTGGTAATGGGCCCAGATAGGGAGGTAACTCATGGCTCCTCTCATTTCCTGTGGCTTGGGGCGCTACAAATCATAAAGCTAGCCTCAGCTACACATTGACCTCAATGGGAGTTATATGTGCAGAAGGACAGGTGTCTTCGAATTACTGTAAACATGAGACAGACAAAGTGAGAGAGAAGTAGCTGCCGTATTTGGAAGCAATGAGCAACTCATATAGAGAGACTATTCATTTATAGAAAGGATCTCCCATCAGGGGTGCTGGAACAATGTTTATAGTGGGAGTGATGAGAGCCCTTTAGCCAAACTGTAAACCCTGTATATAATGGAAACCACTTCAAGTCAGGGGGTGCAGCAGCACTCCCAACACCTGTAGTTCCAGTACCTATGTCTCCCATATCCAGTTACACGTGTGTTGTTGGTACTACAGTGTAAAAACAGCATGAGTGCACACACTTACCACGGAAGAACTCTTTTTCTAGCTGTTCATTCCATATAGGTGCACTGTCCTCCATCATTTCAGCTTGAGTTGCATCAAATAAATTACCAGGTAGTTCAGCTGGTAAAGAGGAGTTGCATGTTTCAGCCTGTTGAGAAGTTTAAGAGACTGTGTAGCTTATTTTCATAGCAAAACAAATCATTTTAATATGGACAAGAGGAGAGAAAACCCTCATGGGTGCTAATATTCTTTTTTTTAAACAATATATGCCTGAAATCACAGTGCTGCACGTGTGAAGAATTAAATTCTACATAGTAAGAGCAAGGGATTTGGAACAACTATCTATAGTTCAGACTTTCACTTGATTTTGGGGGGATTTTAGTCCATCATCTTGTCCAGAGGCTGTAGCACACTCCAGAGCACATTAATGGTGGTTTTGTATTATAACGGATATTTGTTTGTAGTTGTTAGCTGTTCACTCATTTCACCTCCACATACATTCTAGTAGGATATTGCCTCTGTAATTTAAATTTTCCTAATCCATTCTTCTTTAATGCGCACATTTACAACCCACCCCAACAACAGGTGGTATTCACCTCCCAGCAAAAATGTAATAATCAAATACCACAGACACCTCTCCTATATTAAGATTTCATCTTCACACAATACTACAACTAATTTAGTAGCATTTTATAAGTATTACAGTTAAGACATTAGTAATATTTTAATGAAACAAATTCCATTTGTGATGCTTTACTCTTGGAGTTTTAAAATTGTATTTTCACATACACACTAATTCCACCAGCCTCTGGCAACACAAGCACTGTCTTGCAGGCCTTGCTCTCTCTGTACAGGTTAGCTATAGGCACACACCAACTCCTTAGCTCCCAAACATCTCTCTGGAGTGCCAAGCCCCTGATCACTCACACAACTCTCAGATTCTCTGCTCCCAAAGGAATAGCACACACCAGCTTACTAGATTCAACCCAGGATCACTGCTCCATTTAACACACAGCACTTAGATATATTTACAGTGAAAACAAAAATAAGTTTATTATTAAAGAACTGAGATTCAAATGATAGTCAGTAAGACTATTAGAAACAAATGGATACATATAAAACAAAATCATAACATGCTTGCTACAGCCTAAACTTAACACACACAGCATTCCGGTCTCCTACAGGATAGCTTACCCCAAGTCCTTTTCCCAGCGTTTTCAACCAGGGTGGCTGAGATTCCCCTTGTCATAAGATCAAGCCTGCTGCCAGCTTGTCTTCCCAGCTTCAAGGATGCCAGAGCATCTCTCTGCACCCCCAGATATGACCCCAGATCTTTGATCTTCCTCTGAAACAGGGTTCTTCCCTTCCTCCTGCAATTTACCTCTTCCTGTTAATTTCCTTCTGAAATCTCCAAAAACTCTTTATTAGCATTAGACTCAGTATACTAACAGATTTCCATTGTGAGATACACAATGGTTAGCTAAGGAGAGAAGTGTCTCTCTCACCTCCTGACTGGAGAAATTTGCCTCAAGGCAAGCTACCTTTGAGAGAACCTGCCTTTAATTAGAAGGCCTAGAGAACACAATTTTCAGCATATATACGAAACTCCTCACATAGATATACATCTCAGAATGATTATGATGACCTGTGTGACACAGGCTTTCATTAGAGACTTACATGACATTCTTTTGGTGAACCCAGGGGATCGCTGTGCCCCTATGTACCTCAATGCCCTCTGCCAGTTAGTATCAAGAAGTCTTTGGGTCACATCATGAGAAGGGGGCACCCTTTAGGGGGCCTAAAATGGAGGACCAGAATGCTGACTGTATGAGCTATCCTCCCACTGGGCACCTCAGTGGGTCCCGCCATGGAATGGGGGTGAGGTCCCTTCATGGTCTTTCCTGCTCTGGTCTGAGTGATCTCAAGATCGATCAGACTGGTGCAGAGCCAACAAATGCACCTGGAAAGAGTGAATGAGCCCTTTATTCCTGTGTAATATGGGACCAAAATTCCATAAGAATTTAGGAATTGCCAGACTGGATCAGACAGATGGTTCATCTAGTCCAGTATCCCGTACCTGACAGAAGCCAGCATAAGGTGCATCAGTGGAAGATGCAAGAAACCTTGCATCAGGCAGTCAACGAATTACGTCCTCAGAAGGAAAGTTTCTTCCTAGTCCCCATCAGTTAAGAGGCTGGTTTATGCTCTGAAATATGGAGGCTTCCATAATTCTTGAGGCCAGATCCTCTGCTGGCATAAATCAGTATAGTTCCATTGACTTCAATGGATTTTGGCTGATTTACATGAGCTAAGCAATTGGTCCCACTCTCATTTAAAAAAAAAAATCTTTTCTATTGTAACTCTGGATGTTCTTGTTATTCATATAAAAATCCAGTCTCTCTCTGAATCCTGCTTGGATCTTTGTTTCAATGATATATTGTGACAATGAGTTCCTCAGGCTATCTGGGCATTGTATTTCCTTTTATCAATTTTAAATCCTGCCATTAGGTTCCATGGAATAGTCCCTTGTTCTGGAAGTATTAGAGAGGGGAAGTAGGAGTGCCCAACTTATCTTCTTGATACCATTCATTATTTGTATACCCTTATGTTCCCTCTTAGACTTGGTCTACACTACCATTTTATGTTGGTATAACTATGTTGCTCAAGGGTGTAATATATCCACACCCCCGAGCCATGTTGTTAAACCAACCTAACCCTGGTGTAGACAGCACTATGCCAATGGGAGGGCTTCTCCTGTCGACATAGCTACAGCCTCTTGGAGAGGTGGCGTATCTACACCGATGGGAAAAGCTCTCGTCAGTGTAGGTAGTGTCTTCACTAAATGCTACAGTTGCACTGGTGTAGCACTGTAAGTGTAAACAAGCCCTCAGTTGTCGCCTCTCTGATTACACCATATAACAGAGTTCATGTTAGTAATACAGAGCAGTGAAATGGTTAAAACTGAGACTCTGAGCCAACTTCATCCCAGGTGTAGTTCTGTTGATATCCAAGGATTACACTGAAGTTACACCAGAGAGGAATTTGGTGCCTCATGCTTGAAATTAATGGAGATATCCCATCTCCTAGAACTGGAAGGGACCTTGAAAGGTCATCGAGTCCAGCCCCCTGCCTTCACTAGCAGGACCAAGTACTGATTTTGCCCCAGATCCCCAAGTGGCCCCCTCAAGGATTGAACTCACAACCCTGGGTTTAGCAGGCCAATGCGCAAACCACTGAGCTATCCCTCTCTGTGCTACCAATCTGGAGCATCCAGCCAAAACAAATCACCTGAAGTTAGAACACAAAGGAGCCTTCCTAGTGCCCAGGCTCTATTTAGCTAAAGTAGCTCATAGTGACATCAAAGAGTCTCATTCCTGCAAACACTCAGCACATAGCACTCTCAGTGTATGGGATTTCTGTGCACCAAGGGCTTGCAGAATCAGAAATAAAATACTATTGGACCAAATCTTACTCCCATTGGGTGAAATTCACCCCCATGCATAAGACCTGCACAAGGCCTTAACTCCCACTTAACTCCTGCTTAAGGCCTAAAACAGGATGTAAGTGGTTCGTAGGTTTCATGCAGGCTGTCTGCATGGGGGTGAATTTCACCCATTGCAAAGTCCATTACCAGACAGACAGTCCCACTGACGTCACTGGAACTAGTAAAGGTGGCAGAATCTTTGCCTAACAGAATCTGAATGATCTGCATCTGAATTTAAACTTGCACTGAAGCCAGAAATCATGTGGATATGTGCTCAACCTGTTTGTAAGCACAGATGCAACAAATAAAACGTAACAATTGTAAATAAATCCAAACGGCAAATATTTATTCAAAGTGAGTTCACATTTATTTGTGCTTTGGCTACTACTGCCAAAACGTATCTTGTGTTTGTCCCATAGCAATAATTTATTAAATAATTTCCTTGTTAAAGAGAACTGAAACCGCACTGCAGAAGTTAGACTTCGGACTTCTTTGGAGACACTCGTACAATAAATGGGACAAACTCATCCCTGGTGTGACACCACTGAATTCAACAGGCTTACACCACATATGAATTTTCCCTAGTATTTAAATACAGAATTGCAAGAGTCATGTTTACATAAGTCATGTTTAAATAAGCAGCCAGATGGGCATAATGTCTATTCTACAAAGACAGTGGACTAGTACTCAAAATATTCCCTGCTTTAAACATTTTTTTACAATAAAGGTGCCAAGCTACTTACCTGTGCCATTTCCTCAACTTTGGAAGATGTATGGGCGCCCAGAGCAAAGCTGTCATATCTGTGAAAAGAATTTAAAAAGCTGCTTTGAAGATAAACACAATCAAATTTTACAAGGGAGTAAATAGCCGGCTTGCTTCCTTTTAATATCCAGCAAGAAGCTTCCGAAAATACTTTTTATGAAGAGTCCACAGAGTTTGTCATGTTATTTCTCAAATGCATCTTACGATATATTTTTTTCACCCATCAGGTTGCTGGAATCTGCAACTTGTTAATGTTCCAAGTGAACAGCCAAGAAGGGACCTCAGATTAATGGCATTTACGCTGCTGGAATATCAGTAAGGTAACTCTCCATCTGTCATTCTAACAAACGGTTATTTGCAATCTTAGGTAATTTTCCAAATGATAAGAATTTATTAAGTACTGGGGAGAATCGAAGGTTTTGGTTATATGACCTATAACGCTCAAAATGGCCCGTGACCTACTTATCTGAAAGACTGTCTCTCTCTTCCTGTCCCAAATTGCCCCAGTGGAGATCACAGGGCACCCCACTTGTATAAGAAAGAGGGGGAGCTGGCAGATGGTTCTCTATAAGGCCCTGGGGAATTTGCTCCCACCAGTCCAAAATAATCCTAATTTTTCAACTTTCATTGCACACTGCAAGGCCTAACTATTTTCCCAGGTTGTGAAGGATTGCCAGGACTCTGGTGGGAGTCCTTGTAAGGAACTTCAGCCATTTTTCAGCTGCTGCATTAATGTTAATTACTGGCCAAGAGAGGGTTGTATATGAAAGAATATATTTTTAGAATTGTGGTTTTTTAAATGTGTCCAGGGGTGCCAAGAGCAAAGGATGGGCACTCCTTTTAATGGAATGAGTGTATACATCTAATTAACTAAATAACCAAAGGAAAGGAGAAGTGCAGCTGATTTAAATGGGGATATTCACGCGAGTAAAGAGAGATGGATTTGTATCCATACAGGTGAAAAAAAAAATTTCCTAATTCAAATGAGGAAATTAACTCCATCACAGTAAGATATGGTTCCTTCTCCCACTTGCAGACCTTTGTTTAAAAATTAACATGCCTATCCCCCTGCCAAAAGGACATTGAAAAGAATTTTGTCTAGTTATGGTTGCTCTTCACTGTTCAGCCCTCCTCCCAGAGGGCTTTGTTTTGCTTATTCTTCTCATTTTTTCTGATCAATCCTGTCTATGAAAGGATTTTTTTACAGTCATTATTTCCTTTTGATTCTTAAGGCTTTCACTGGACTGAGGTAAATTATTTTATTGTGCTTCAGCAGCAAGTATAAACTGGCTTGTTGGCATGTTCTGTGTATCCGAGTCTTTCTTCCCACTGTGCTTTGTCATTTGTTTGTAATGCGCTTGCAGGCAGGGAAGAACAGTTGAAAGGGATAGTATTTGTGTTTTTGCAATTGGGAAGGTTAAAATCAGGATCCCTTCCTCATACAAGGCATCATCCAAAACCAACTGAAGCCTATGGAAAGATTCCCTTTGATTTCCATGGGCTTTACAGAATAAGGCTCTATGAGCCTGCTCCACTCCTTAACTTTGCTTGATAGCAGTTAATCATGTGAACATTCCCATTGAAGTCAATGGGATTATTACTCAGTGTGTGTAAGGGTTTCAGAATCAGATCTCAAAGCCATATTTAACTTTTGTTTTAAGCTAAAATGATGTGGAATATGCAGTAACACTTAACACAACATATAGAGTTGAGCTTGTGGTATTTCAGAATCTTTACAATGATTTCTTTCAAACCAAATGCAGTGAGTTTGGTGTTCTGTTTTGTAAAACAATCTCAAGTCTTATTCCATTAGAAATGGAAAAAATTCTATTGGCTGCTTCAACTTTGCATGTGGAGAATTGTTCTGTACAGCACACTTGCAAGTGCTGTCCCTACCCCAGTTTTAATTATTCCAAGCAGCGGGACATCATTATTCTTTTTCCAGTAGATCTAGCTATCAGAAATGTTTTTTTGTTTTTTTAAAATATTCTGGCCAAAATTACTCCTGGTTACACCTCCTTGCACCATCCTAAATAATTCTTCCCCATCCTTGTTCTTAGCACTCTTTAAGTAATAAATGATAGTGTTCCTCCTTAGTTCTCTCCTAGTCAAATTATACAAACAAGATTACAATGATCTTGTGTCCTATATCAGTCCCTCCAGCCCCCTAATCATCCTCATTGCTCTACTCTGACCTCCATCCAGTTTGTCCGTATTTTGAAATTAAAGGTTTGTTTTCCTATGTGCAAGTAGGAAAGTGCAAGTATTTCTTAAATTCATTACCACAGAAACCAGAAATAATTTGATTTCTTTTGGTCATCAAACCACCTTCCCCCCCCCCACCACACACACCCCCAAACATGAAACTAAGTACCTGTAGCTAGACAGATGATTACAGAGTGCAACACTAGAAGAGTGATTGCTTTTAATAATAATACACAATAACTCCATGAGATAGATTCTGCAGCAAATTATTAGTTTCAGTCAGGCTCTAATCTGCAATGGCCCATGCCTGGGTTCTCTCTCAGATCGCAGTCTTTTCCTTTTAATATTCATATGAGCACTACACAGTACCCAGCTAAACAACAATCAAATTATGCAAGCATGTTGAAAACACTTGGTTAAGTAAAACTTAGCGCTTCGTTTTAAATGTAACACCTATTTAAACATGCTATAAGAAGAGGATAAGAATAACTTAAAACATCAAATGCCTGGAATGGAAAATAATCACAGGTTTTACTTACTGCCAACTTTAGTGTTACAACCCTTTTATTAGCCTCTTAAATAGCTCCACGTAAATAGACTTCTTTTTGCAGCCTTCCATAATATTTTTCCCACAACAAAACACCCCACAGCAGGTGAGACTTTTTTTTTCCCCCGCACACAAAAGGGACAAAGTACCATCTAAACAGTCGCTAATACCTAGCTGTTTACAGACTTCCACCAGTCAAGCTTACTTACATGACTTACAGTGCTGCTGCCTATTGTACATCACTTACTCTCCAAATAACTTTACCTGGTGACAGGCAAAGTATTTTTATTGCTTTGTCTGCACATAAAACAAGTCACATGCCAAGACCACACCTAGAAAGGGCGGAGAAGTTTTCAATAGGGAGACGTGACTAGGATATTTAGTAATTGGCTCGGCTCCACATCAGAATAGCCTTGCTGTTTATTTTTCAAAAATTCTGCTTTGTAATGAGTCAAGATCAGTGGTGGGCAACCTGCGGGCCTCACGCTGCCCATCAAGGTAATCCGCTGGCGGGCCACGAGACAGTTTGTTTACACTGACTGTCCGCAGGCACGGCCACCCGCAGCTCCCGGTGGCTGCGATTCACCGTTCCCGGCCAATGGGAGCTGTGGGAAGCAGCATGGGCTGCAGGGACGTGCTGGCTGCCGCTTCCCGCAGCTCCCATTGGCTGGGAACCGCGAACCGCAGCCACTGGCAGCTGTGAGTGGCTGTGCCTGTGGATGGTCAATGTAAACAAACTGTCTCACGGGCCGCCAGCGGATTACCCTGACATGCTCACCACTGGTAAAGATCATCTGAACCCAAGATCTAATTTATACATTTTCTGTTGAAAAATCAGGATAAATATATAATCGGGAAAACCGAAGCAGTGAGTACATACCATTATATGTATCTTCTATTGCTTTTTCAAAAAAAAAAAAAGTCATTTTCATACTGGTAAAGGCTGCAAATTGAAGAGCACAGAATCTGAAGCCCCCAAGGCTTTGCTTTCATTTGATCTCATCCCACAAGATTGATTTCACACCAATATATGTATCCCTCCTGAAACCCTATTCTCTTTCTCAGTTACACAAATGCCCCTTTATGCTGTGGGCATTTATGCTGTGGGAATGGCCCCCTGAGTACTCCCTATACAGAGGGCCACTGTGGTTTGCATAGAGATGGTGTGAGAGCTGTATATTCGTCCTGCTCCCAGTCCCCCCAGTGTAGGGGTTATGCCAAGGGCGAAGGAGAGGGAATAGCTGGACTGTGCTGTGGCACGGCTAGTATCTGCTTCCCAGAACTCACAGGGGGCCACTAATTTTCCATGATGGTCACCTTGCTGCTCTGCTAGGGAGGAGCTCTCTGGAAACATCTGCAAGGTGACCTCATTGTCCCTCTTCAAACCCCACCTTAAAACTCTCCTCTGCTGTGATACAAAAACCACACCAACTGTTAGGTAGCTGGTGTGCGAAAACAACTACTGATCATACTGACCAGTATTGTCTCATCATTACCTTGTGCTTTCTTCCCCCTCCCCCAGTCTGTTGTTGCATCTACCTGTTGTCTCATGTTATTTATTATTTGTATTATTATAGCATCTAGGATCCCTGGTTAGGACCCCACATTGTTAGGCTCTGTACAAACATAACAAAAAAAGGCAGTCCTTGCCCCAAAGAGCTTACAATCTAAGTTTGTCTTATAATAAGTCCGTATGCTCTTCAGAGCTGGGTCCACATTTTTGTTACGTGTTTGAAAAGGACCTTCTACCATGGGCCCCTAATCCATGACTGGCGACCCCAAGCACTACCTCAATATAAATAACAACAACATTGCATCACAAAGAGGGGTTTGACAGTGAGGTGTTGCCAATGTGTCTACAAACTACTTGAATCTATTATCCAGGCCCAGGAGCGCCGCCAGCTTTTCCGCTGCCCCAAAATGCCGCCCCCCCACCAGAGGCAGCGGAAGGTCCCACCGCCAAAATACTGCTGCAGTCGCCGCCCCCCAAATCACAGCGCCCTAGGCGACCGCCTAGGTCGCCTAATGGGTTGCGCCGGCCCTGTCCAGGCCCCATGAAGAAGGGGCATAATGGGCTAGAGCCGCTGCTATAGCCCAGAGACTGTAACAACCATGCAGCTTTCGTGCAAAGCCTGAGCAAATTAAATTTCATCATCGGATGGGAATTTGGCCCTTACTTTCCACTTAGTCTTTATTCTTTCTGACATTTAACTGATAACTTTGCATTACATAACCAAATAAAATCATGCTCCTACTGGGACATGTGAAAAGCAGGCTGGAGAATCATCTAATTTAAATGGAGCTGTACACAAAGTTTTACAAGCAACGCATGAAACAATTCATTTTCTTTTTCTAGCTACCATTAAGCAGTAGAATGAACACCTGTTGTGTATAGCTCACCGTGGCTGCTGCCGAGTCTGGTGCTTTAAAGTGTGCTTCCTTGATTTTTTGAAGGAGAAGAGTGACGCAAAAGGAGTTCTGAATCCCAGAATGGAAGGTGAGACATTCTTTTGTGCTTGTGGATTTTGGGGAGATGACATTTTAAACTCTTTAGGATCTAAAAAAAATTACAATGTTGCAATTATTTGATTCATTTCCAGTTCTTGTTAAATCTAATTTTTTAAACCATACAAAAATAAGCTACAGCTTTGCATGCCTGAATAAAGGCAGGCAGTAAGCTGTAATTAAAGATGAGCTGCAAAAGAAGCAAAAGGGGATTTGTTCCCTTTTGTGATTCTTTATCGACACAGCAAGTTTGTAAGTTGTTTTCCCCAGACAAATACATTTTCTTCTGTATAAAGTTTGTTAGCAATTTCAGACTATCACCGATTTCTTTTGACTGAGCAAAGTGACATACTGGCTTTTGGTGTCTAACTGGAGAATGGGGGGAAAAAAGATACACAGGTCCACATTTTCAAAAGGGAGCGATGATTTTGGGTGCATCCATGCTTGGGTGCCCAACATGAGATAACTAAATTAGCCTGACTGTCAGACACTGCTGAACACCCGCCCTATGAAAGTCAGGCCCCTGTTAAGGTGTCTCCAGTTGGGCATCTGAAATTATTACTCATTTTTGAAAATTTTGACCAAAGATCCATAACGGGTTGACTTCTCAAATGTGTAAGGTGCTCAGATACCACTGTCCTGAGCATGCTATAAACACAATACAGACAGAATCATTAATTACACAAGTCATTTATATTAGATACCAGAATGTTATAAAAAACTTGTTATACCTAAGTTTATGATGGATTCGCCAGACCATTCTTGGTGGTTGAATGCTACAATTAATGTTTAAAGTGTTTTATTTTATGTATATTCTCTCAGAGCTTATTTTGTTTGCAGAATCATAGAAGGGCATCCTGGTTTATTTATTTTGGGAGAATATGGCCGTGTTTCCACAGGGAACATGAACCTTGTCCTCGTGGCAAAAGCAGTTGAAAGTGGGTGTGAACGACAGATTGGTTCACAGAGTAAGCAGAGAAACTGCAGTCTCTGCTGCTAAGAGGTGCTCCAGTGGGACCAGGGAAGCAAAGCAACATTCAGATAACAGGGCATCATTGAAAAATTGAAGATTTCCCCGCCTCCCCCGGCCATTTTAGATCACCAGATGTGAGAGCGAAAACAGCAGCATAGAAATACCTTATATATTGTGTGTGTTGGAGGGTGTAGGGGGGAAATGCATTCTAGAAATGTATACATAACTGAATAGAAATAGCTGATACAAACTGTGAGAGGCAAGGGCAATATTCTGAGGCTGGTCTCTCAATGAAATGAAAGGTGCATGTCATAGGCAGTGTTCCCTCTAATTTTTTTTACATTCATGTGCGGAATGAATTTTGTTATGTGCACCAATATGAAGGTGACACATCACCTTCATATTGGTGCACATAACAAAATTCATGTGGTGCAGATGGAGCCAAGGGGTTCGGAGTGTGGAAGGTGGCACGGGGGAGTTGGAGGGGGGTGGTGCAGGCTCGGGCTCGGGCTGGGGCTGAGGAGTTTGGAGTGTGGGAGGGGGCTCAGGACTGGGACAGAGAGTTGGTTGCGGGGGTTGAGGGCTTCGGCTAGGGGTGAAGGCTCTGGGGTGGGGCCGGGAATGAGAGGTTCGGGTGCGGGACGGGACTCAGGGCTGGGGCAGAGGGTTGGTTGCAGGGGGTGAGGGCATCAGCTAGGAGTGAGGGCTCTGGGGTGGGGCCAGGAATGAGAGGTTCAGGTGTGGGACGGGGCTCAGGGCTGGGGCAGCGGGTTGGAGTGTGGGGGAGGTGTGAGCTCTGGGGTGGGGCCGGGGATGAGGGATTTGGGGTACAGGCTGCCCAGTGGCTGCGGTGGGGGAAGGGAGAGAGAGAGAGAGAGAGAGAGAGAGACGT